CCAGTCCCGACCCGATCGAAACGCTACCGACTAAATCTCCCATCATCATACCCACGGAACGGACGGGCAACGATCACCTCGGATTGTCCCCTAACTCCTGTCAGCGCGGCTCGATGAAGAGCGCGCTCGGCAGCGACGACGTTTCGTTCTCCGAGTGGGACATGCTGGAGGAGAACGAGAGTCAGCACGCGCGGAACAAAAGTTGGGCGTCCGTGGTCACTTCCGCCCACGACGTGAGCACCGCCATCAAAATGGTGGGGAGCAATCTGCCCCAGAAATCGAACGACGGAAGAAGCCACGCGTCCATGATGCATTCCTCTCGACACATACCGACGGTCCCGGTCCCATCTCTCGGTGGTTCCAGGCGACTCACGTCGATGCTAGAGAAGAATCGGTTGCTCAACCTGGATATCCAGGTGGACACGAGGCCGGACTCGCCGGTGAACGTGCCGGACGTCAGGCTGAAGTCTCCGGATCCGGACATCTTGTTTCCGAAACGCAAGATCACGTCGCCGAGGCTAAAGGAGCAGGTGGCGCGGCCCGTCTCGAAACCGCCGGCGCCGTTGCTTTCTCCGCCGCCGATCTCGAACAAACCCCCGCTGTCGATGGAGGACCTGGCGGAATTGTTGAGCGAGGAGAGCGACGGTAAAACGGAGAGGAAGCGCGATAAGTCCAAGGAAGAGGTAACATTCAAAAAGGATTTAAGTAAACACGAGTTAGGCACGGCCGCTAGGGAGGCGAAGGTATGTAAGCATTTCTTACTGACGCAGGAGGACATCGATAGCGAGAGCGAGAGACGTTGGGAGGAGGTAGACAAACACATAGTCAAGTTGACCACCAGGAAGTGTCTGCCGAGCGTTCCCGCCAACGCAAAGATCGACGCTGTGAAGTCGAGCGAGATGAAGGGAGCGTCGACTAGTAGTTTAATGCACAACGTGCAAGAAAAGCCGATCGACAATAGGAGTAGAGCTCCCTCTCCGTCTGGCACGAAGACGGAGCTCCGTTACGCCGACAATTACGAAAGGCACCCGCGTCAGATGCGCGACAATCACGGTATCGATAAAGACAAGGGGAACATGCACCCGCATTGCAGGCCCGACGATGATATGCCCGGTCAGATCCCGGTGCACCATGCCGGTCCGACGAAGCCCGACGAGAGGAACCCTCTGATGTATCAGAGGCGACCGAACATCGTCAGCCCGGAAATGGTCCCGCCTAGGATAGACACAGAGTTTAGAATCGAGGGTCCGGAGTATTTCAACAGACAGCTGCCCAACCAGTCCCACTGGCCTCCTCCTCCGCCTCCGCCTCCACCCCCTCCCCCTCCGCCGATGCACGTTCCGATGAACGCGAACGAATTCTGCAACAACCAATGGCCCCCGTCTTCCAACTTCAACGGTGTGCCGAACTCGCCCGCGCAAAACTATCCGCACTCCATGGGGATGCACCAGGACATGTGGAACGTGGGGTCGAGCAGAGACTCGATTCACGTGGACCCGCATCAGGTGAACGAGGGACCGTTGAGGCCCACTCAGTTCCCGGCCAACATGAATCCCGGTATCAGGCCGATGATGAGTCCGAACACGAACCACATACCCCGACCGGAGGACATGTCCAACGTGGACGTGCCGAACGTGCCAACGATACAGCCGATGATTTCCCCTACGAGATTCCCGATCGGGCCCCAGTACAGGAACTTCCAAGGCGAGAACAGACCGTACGAACCGCCGTTCGACAGAGGAATGGAGTACTCGCATCCGAGACCGCCCTGGGACCCTCAGACCTCGCGGGCGAACGACGCACCGTACAGGCCGGACAACGAAGGTTCGTGTGGCCCGAAGGGACCTCCGGACGCCTCGGGACCGTATTCCAGGCCGAGCACGCCCTGTCCTTGGAACAGGGACAGGGATCGCGGCGGAGGAAGAGGTCGCAGGGGTCGCAACAATTTCAACCGCGATGCGCGGAGAACGGAATGGGCCAGAGACAGTCACAATGAGTGGGACAACTGCAATCGGTTCTCCCGAGACACTAGGAACATCTCCGAACGGGACCCTAGAGTACGAGTGGAGCACAGCTCGATCAACCAAAGCCCGAGCCAGTCGAGAGATAACGCTGCATCCGTCAGGGACCCGCGTTTGGCCAAAGACAAACATTTCACCCCTGCCAAAACCAACAAAGATGTCGGCTTCATCGAAAGAGACCCCAGGAAACGGTCCACCGCGCAGCCGTTTTCGCCGGGGTTCAGGAAAGCCAAGGAGAAAACCAAGTCGCCGCCTAAACCGGCCGAGCCCCATCGACGCTCGGATTCGGAGGTCAGTCCCAAGACGCAGGAGAAGCTGTCCAAAGACAAGATGCAGTCTCCCTTGGAAAGTCTCTACGGAGTGATCGACACGAAGGCGAAGTCGGTGCAAGGTAGTCTGCAGAACTTCAAGATACCGAAGATCAAGCGCAACGAGTCGTCGGAGTCGCCCACGTCCAGTCATATTCCGGACGAGACCAAGATACCGGACGTCTTCGTCGACAGACGGGACGGAAAGGCCAAGAGCGAAAAGGAGAAGGACGACACTGCCGGTGAGGTGAGCAGTAGCAGCGATGGCAACATCCTACTGGAGGAGGATTGGAACGGTGGCGTCGTTGAGAAGAAGGAGGATCCGAAGGACGATCCGAAGGAGGAGCCGAAGGAGGAGCCGAAGGAGGACCCGAAGGAGGAGACCGTCTCGGTCCTCCAACCCGTCGAGGAGGGTAACGATCCGAACCAAGGCGAGCCGGACTCTATCACCACCACTTCCGCTAAACCTTCCGGTAACGCTGAGAAAGCGAAGAAGGACGAGGCGGAACTGGAAGGGTCGAAGCCGAAGGAAGAGGTGACTCAAGAGTGGATCGAAGCTTTGATTAGGAAGTCCTTCGAGTTCGGCGAGGGGAAGAAGTTCGTGGAGCAAGCCAAGTTTATGCAGCGGCTGGGGGAAGTGTTCCAAGCGAAGAAGCTGAAGAAGATCAAGAAGATCATCGAGTCCGAGTCTGAGAGCAGCAGCTCGGACAAAGAGGACACTCTAGAGACTAAGAAGCCACACGTGAAGAAGAAACGACGAGTGATCGTCTCGGATAGCTCGGACGAGGAAACCCTGGCCGACAGGTTAGGCATTTTGAGCACGCCTAAGAAAGAATCGGTTGAAAACCCTTCGGACGATGATCTGAAGTCCAACCTGAACAAAGATGCAGAGGAACCGTCTGTCGCTGCTGAATCTTCGAAACTGAAAACGGCTGATGAGGACATCAAGCAGGACAGTGCGATTGAACAGGATATCCCTGAAGATAAGGCGAAGGACAAAGAGCAAGAGGTTCCAAGCGTAGAGAAAACAGAATCGAAGGAGGAGACTAAAGAGGAGCCGAAGAGCGAAGAGTCGGTCGAAGAGAACAGTAGCAAGGCACCGAAGGCGAAGGCGAAGAGGAGAAACTCTTTGGAGATGCTTCAGGAAGATATCAGAGAGATGTTCATCAGCGACGACGTTGTAGCAGCCACTGGCCACCGATTGTGTCGCACGCAGAAGGAAAGTCAGCAGACTGGCACTGTTACGCCTGTTCCGGTGACGCCCACTAGCAAGAAGGACGAGTCCATCAAGGAGACGACCTCGGACTGCGAAGAGCCTTCGGTGACCTCCTCCAAGAAGAAGACTGCCAAACCTCGACTCAACGAAAGCATCGGTAAGGTCAAAGGCAGGGGCAGGAAGGAAGCGCAGCGAATAACCCGGCAGCGATCTAAGCAGTACACTCACAGTTCCGACAGCGAAGAAGATCAACCGTTAGCTTTGCGAACCGAACTCGCCCAGAATCCTACCACGTCGACCAGTCCGGACGAGGAGTCGGACACGCTGCGAAGAAGCAAACGTATAATTAACAAGGAAATTATCAAAGAACCTCGCGTCGTGGTCGAGAAGACAGACATTTCCAAGCTGGATTGTTCGAAGGTGATGTTCGACAGTTCCTCCGACGAAAGCTTCGGCATAGATGTGTCCGAGCTTACAGCAGCGGTGGACATCTCGCTGCGTCCGGACAAGATTCCCGAACCGGAAGCAACGGATAAGAAGAAGTCCGCTCCAAGTCCTTCGAAGAAGATCGCGAAGAAAAAGGGCGGTTCCAGCGAGGTGGTCAGCGAGAGCAAAGACGACGTGTTCTCCGACGAAGAAAGTATCATTTCTGACGTGTCCATGTCCAGCAGCGTCGCTTCGACGAAGAAAGTCAATTCCGGTTCAACGAAAATAGACGGCGGGACCAACGAGGAACTGCTCAGTAATATTTTGGTAGGATTGGTAACTTCGAAGGCCGAGCTGAGCAAAGACGCCAATGTAGCGGACAAAGGAAGCGACGCGGATATAGATGACGACGTCAACGACCAGTTGCCCACTGAACAGAACGTCAAGAAGTCATCGGCGAAGAAGAAGAAAAAGAAGTTCAACTGGCAGATGGGGATATTATCTAAGAAAAAGAGGAAGAAGGCTCCTGCGTCCTGTTCTTCCAAGGACTCTGATCTTAATATTAGTTCCGAAATGGAAACGTCCAGAGCAACCGACGACTCCATATCGGTAGAGAAAGCGAGCAGTGACAATAATTCACTGAACGATAGCAATCAGTGTGTCGAGGCGACACTCGAAGACAGTGTTAAAGATAAGGATACCGCTAATGAAGATCTTGATGCTATTCCGAATGACACGGAAGCGGATTCATCGGATTCCAAAAATGATAAGAATAAGGCTCCGGTTACCGAGACGCTGCCGGAAATTAAAGATAGCGTCGTTGAAGTTGCCGTTACTAACGAGTCGAAAAGTCCAGCTAAAAATAAAGTAGAAACAGACAAAGCTTTCGATAAGTTGAATATAAATAAATTGATAGATTACGCGTGGACTGGGCAAGAGAGATACAAATGTTTGCTCTGCTTTTTCACGGGTAAAAACATTGTGCATCATTACAAGCTTAATCATCCTGGTAAAGAGATCCTTATTTCAAGATTGAAGCTCGCAGATGCTCAACTTGCGATTCAGGACGCGAAGGATAATGACGTAGAGAATATGTCGTTAAAGCCTCTGACGGAAGAAACGTTTAAATTCCACTGCAGATTCTGTTCCTTCTTTACAGAAGGCACTGCCAAGGTAGCGCTGGAAGCGTTTTATGAACATTGCACCACCCATACTGGGGAGTACCGATTCAGATGCAATACTTGCCCCTATCAGGCCGTGGCGAAGTCTTCTATGAGAACGCATTATTACAAAGTCTGCAGGAAGTTCAAGGAAACATTCAATGAAGCTATAACCGAAGACGACATACCCGAAGAAAACCGCGTGTACGGCTACCTGTGTTCGAGTTGCAACTACATTCAGTTAAAGAAATCAAATTTGATACAGCATTTTGAATTATGGCATAAGGAGAATTCTGAAACTAGTGTCATTAAGATAGACATGTCTCTTAACGTTGTTAAAATAGAATCTGCAGACGACGTGGTAAATAAAAATGTGAAGGCAGAAGTATCTCGATCAACTTCAGAAGGTTTGGAAGCGTCAGCGAGTATCGTAATAACCGACGTTGAACAGGATGATGTTAATGTAACCGAAGTCCCTGTTGAGAAGGATCAAGCGTGTCAGGTTAAAGATAAGAAAACAAAAGATTCAGCAGAGTGTAAGCCACAGAACAATGAGGAGCATTCGGATGCGCCATCCGAGTGCAATGAAAAGAAGAAATTGTCCACCCCGGATGCAGATTCCAATTTGCCAACAGGAAATTTGAGCGTGTTCGTTTGTCCACCGGAATTAGAGAAAAAAGAAGTGGAAATACAGTTGGAGAGGAAAAGAAAAATGCAAGAAATTATTCAGAACATTGGTATCAAATTGCAAAAGGATGCGTCCAAGAAGGGTCTTTCTATCATAGACAAATTGAAGGATAAGATGAAGACGAATACAGTTGCATCGACCAGTGAGAAAGAATCTAATATTACTGCTAACGTTCCTAGTAAAATTAGTACTAGCTCCACCACTTTGCCTGCTTCAGCGGAATCTGAAAATACTACTACAGAGTTAGCTTCTGTTTCCAATGTTTCCGCTTCAGAGGAAGTAGAGAGAAATCTATCATTGACTCAAGATTCTTCGAATAAGCAGTCTGACAGCTCTGTTTTAAGAGCGCAATCAACAAATGCGGAAAGTGATTTTCAACCTGCCTCCGAAGCGGATCAAACAGATGTAAAAATTAGAGATCCCCTGATAACGTTGGATCAAAAGAAGAATGAGGAGATTGACACAGAAATCAGTGATAATGACAATGTCGGATATTCTGCTTCGGTGTACGAGTCTGATTATAGTAGCGAGCAATCGGATACAGAGCTACCCACAGATGTAAACATGCTTTTGAAGGAGACTTCCAACATTAATGCCTCTTCCAAGGATCCAATGCTTACAACCATTCAAAGACTCGCTGCTCAGCTTCAATCCGCAAAACCACTTGAAACATGCAAAGAAGAGAGCTCGTTTGAACCTATAGAAACCGCTGAGAAAGCGTTCTCAATCTGTTCCATTCCAAAACCACCGGATGTAGTACCCATGTCAAGTATCAAACGATTTGTGGGAAAAATGGAAAACAAGTTCCATGAAATATCAGCGGAAGGACACGACAATGCTAATCCACCCAAGAATTTCATTAGATTAAGGCGACTGAGTGGTGACATGTTGTCCGCATCAACTCAGCTTCCAGGATTTCATGAAGATGGACACTCTGTGAAACCCAGTATGTATAGAAAGTATAATTCACTAACTGCTTTCTTCAAAATGATGATAGTTAAAAGTGATTTTCAATCGTGTATTTTATTACACGAATAATTTTAAGAACGTTTAAATAATCCAAGTAACTCTTGGGAACTATTGTATGTCTTATTACTCAGTTGTATGTACATTGTTTTATCTAACAGGTGGAATTACTGCTCCAGATAATATGGAGAATTTATTAAAACCAGACGGAGAAGAGGAATGTTCGTTTTTGAAAATTGAGAATGTAGTCAGTCTAGCGCCGAGTGTCGATAACGATAGCGTCGAGAGCCCTATTGTAAGTGACCGATGATTACCGAATTAAGTGTTCTCCTTTCCTGCGTGGCTCCTGGTATTTAAGTTGTTTCTTCTCTATTGCAGATAAACGATATTAGAAAAGCAGTAGAAACTTCTCCCATAAAAAGCAAAGCCGTTTCCGTACTGAAGAAATCCAATGCGCCTCTGATTTTGAAAAGATTGAATACCGTCACCATCGCGCAACCGCTAACGAAAAATATTCAGACAATGCAATCTGCTGCAACAGATACCGTGAAGTTGATTCCAGTGAAGAGTCTATCTCCCGTGCCAGTCTCCGTCACCACCACGCAGTTGTCCCCTGGTTTTATTCCAATCGCACCAAAGTCCAAAGTCATTCAAGTTGAAAATGCATTGTCGTTTCCCCTTTCGGTAAACAAAAGCACAGTCGTGACACCGGTAACTACGCGCACTGTGAATGTCGGAGCATCGCCCCAATCGTCCAATCTGAATTACAAAATTCTGAAAGTGGTCCGAACGCCTACCATTCTGAAACCCAAAGATTCAGTGTTACCGTCCCCTGCGCTTAAATTGAAATCCGCGGACGCTTACAATGCGATGTTGAAGTCCTCTAAACTGTCTCATTTGTACAAGTGTATGGGACGCTTTTGTAACTTCACAACTGACGCGGTGGAACAATACCAACAACATTATGCGCAACACGTAAGTGAGAAGAGTGGTCAGAAAGCACCACACGATTATCAGAAGTGTGCTTATTGCTACATGGTGTTGGAAGATTGGCATCAAATGAAGACGCACATAGAGGATAAACATTCACATTGTCGTTATCAGTGCGCTTACTGTTTTTACAGAGCGGTTACGCTTTCGTATGTTCGGATACATCAGGTACGGAAGCTAAGTTTTCTATTCTACATTTTTCTTTTAATTTTCTTTGGCATATCTAACATTTAAATTGTATTTATAGACCACGTCCCATCCTGGTCTTCACGGTGTTCTGCTCGGTAAATTAGCGAAAGAAGTGCCAGTGAAAGAGGAAGTGAATAGACATGATTTTGTACATCCTTATGTATGTCGACACGGTATGGTTACTTGAGTTGAATTATAAGCTTTATATCCGACTGTAAAAACGCTTACTAAGAACAGAAAATTATAATTTACATTACAGATTGTAATAGGTTGTTCTATGTTCCGGAGTCCTTCATGGGTCACATAAAAAGCAAACATTTGTTATTGTTCTCTACTTTCAAATGTCACGTTTGTCGTATCGCATGTCCGAAAATTGAACAACTCATGACGGTAAATCATTTGAATTGCCTATCATTGATACTAAACTCGGGTCAGTTGTTTTAATCGATGAATCTCTTTGTAGCATTACAAGACCCATGGGTTTTACAAATATCAGTGCCTGTATTGCTTGCACGGATCAGACACTTTAAACGACATACACGTTCACTTAAGCTCGTGTCACTGTAACCGACTACCTCAAGTTTTGGAAAGATCTCTTCCTCTACAGGTGAATATATTTTCGTGAATAATATTCACGCATTAATCTCATTAATTATATTTAATTATATTTTACACTTTATATTTTAGGCATCCCCCAAAAAGAATGTAATAGATCAATTAATTCTGAAGACACTGGACGATGATACCGAAGTGATAGAGCTAGACAACATTGGAAGCGATAACAAAGATTCGATTGTAATGGACACTGTTGCTGCATCTCTTACTCGCAAAGCTTCGTACTCCCAATTACCAGACGATATCAACATGTTAGACAAAGATGAGAACGAAGCGTTAAATAAGTCGTTGTCAACTTTGTTTGTATCTAGCATATCGAGCATCGGTTCCCCTTCACAGGAAAAAATGTCAACCAAATCTTTTGACGGTACAAAGAGTGATGCTCCAGGCGTTAATTTATTGGATACTGCTAAAATAAGTAGCATTCTTTCCGATAAAAATACTACAATGGATCTTCCAGAGGGAAGCCTTGACTGCAACGATGAATTTGTAAATATAAATCTACTCGATAATCCTGACTTCTTGAAAAACATTAGCAGTCGTTCCAATGGTGCGTCCCCTATCGTTAACATGGATACAAATGAAAGTAAAGCGGAGGATAGTGATATTGAGATTGTAGACATTGTGGAATCAGAGACCACTTCTTTGAAAAACGATAAGGATGTGTCTGATTGTACTAAAGAAGAGAGCCCCGAGTTGACCAAAAAAGCCAAAACAGATACTCCCAGCCTGGAAACTGAGATGAAGGGGCAATTGTCCAGTGATACCGAGAATTCGAACAAATCTATAGAAACTGTTGGCAGTTCCAATAACGTAGCGAAGAAAAATGACAAACCCTTAACACTGGAGGATATTAAGGACACAGGTTTTTCAGGAACAAAATTATATAAATGTGGTTATGAATTCTGTGATTACGGTGCACAGAATGCAAGCCATTTGCGAACCCATGTGAAGGAGTGTCCCCAACGGGGCGAAAATAAAAATTTGAACTGTGCTCACTGTAACAAGCGCTTCCTGAAGATCGGATTTTTATTGGAACATTTGAAAGTTCATGGGCTAAAACGTTTCGGCTGTTCTTTGTGCAAAATGAGGTGCACAGTGGGCTACCAAGCAATAGCACATATGAAAGCGAAGCATAGAGTTGCCACTAGTAAATTAGTTCCAGCTGATCCGAAGAACCCATCTGTCGATGGTTTATTTATTGTACAGCCTGTTGTAAGTATATTTTCCTTTTATGAAAGTAAGCTGTTCTTAATGGCCAATTTATTACATATATGTTTCTTGTATAGACTCAAAGTGGGGATAAGAAAGGAAAGAAACGTAAAAGTACAAAATCTGTAGAAAAAGAAAACGATAAGGCAGCGAGTGACATGGAAAAATTATCCTTCAGTCCCGATGAAATAGAAGCCCTACCACGTCAGGCTATATATAATCGTGTAGTGCAATGTGCCGTGTGTCCTTATACAACTAAGGTACGAACAAACATTATCAGGCACTTGAAACTGCACATGAAAGATGAAACCGTACCGGAAAGTGGTCCGGTGAACCCTGTGCCTTGCTTAGACAAGAAAGAGCGAATGTTTGACAAAATGGTGAATTTAGCCAGCAGTTCTCATCAAAATGGACGAATGGGAGGAAAACCGAAAGAAACTATTAAAGATAACGACGACGAGTTTATTCCGAAATTCGTTCCAGAACATAAAAGGCAAGTTTTAGAAATGTGGATATTATAAATTATTTTTTTTACTAATTATATTACACACTTTACTAAATATTCATTAACCATCGTCGCCTTGCAACAGATATGTATGCGGCGTGGCTGAATGTAATTATTTAACAGTTGACGAAGCAATGTTAAGGTGTCATTTAAAAGCATTGCACTCCGAAGAACAGTATTTTCGATGTCCCCACTGCCCTCAACCACCGCCAGGTCAAGAAGGATTGAATATAGCGATTGATAAGATGGCTGTTCATTTGAAAATGCATGACACCAGACTTTACAAATGTTCTCACTGTAATCACCATCACTACCATAGGTATATAATAATATCTACGTCGAGGATGCATAATTGAAATTTTTATGTTCGAACATTTGACAAACATAAGAGGTCACGTTTTAATATGTGTCAATATGCTTGTCAAATGTTTGAAGGATTTTCAATTTGTATTAGTTCATTTTCTATGTTGTTTAAAAGCGATAAATTATTGACTAGACACGTTGTGGAAAGACATCTATCCGACAAACATCCGGAAAAAAGACCTTTCGTTAAAGTGATCAGAGAATTGGAATACACAGAGAATAATCAGTCTGCTCAAGAGGAAAACGAAGAAGAGATTCCAGACCCAGACGGAAATCACTGGAAATGCAACATTTGTGATTATAAATGCGTGTATAAGGCTGAGATGGTAACTCATGCTGCAACAGCCCACGATGAAAAATCCCAATACAAGTGTACACTGTGCCCCTTTAAGACAAGTGGAAAAATCATGTTTGAACAGCACATTAACAGTAAACACTCTAACGACCCCAACGTTGACTATATATTAATATATCAGCGGATAAAAGGCGTGAACAAAAAGAGCGGAGAGAATATCGAGCAAAGTAGCCAGGAGGAACCCTTTGACACCACGCCCCTTTGGAGGAGGGATATGCCTAGAATTAGACACATCCGTGGAATTCTTTTAGAAGAAGAGGGCGAAACATCTGCAGAGTTAACATCGAAAGCAGGGAAAAGAAAGAGCGACGTGGAACAACAACCTCCTAAAGCAGCGAAAATCAAGCCAGGAAAATCAAATTCTCTAGACGACGCCAAGCCAGCGAAAGAAAAATCTAAGAGAGTACTTTCTTGTGACAAAGCGCCGTTAGAACTAGAGAATTCTAGTGAAACGCCTAACGCGCCGGATAAAGCGAAAGAAACTAAAGTTAAAGTAGTTGAAGACAACGATTCGAACGAGTTAGACGTGGGTAGATTCGGTCCTTACGGTAAAGCTGATGGCAATATGTATGTTTGTACTCTATGTACACAGTTTAAAACGAAGTACAAGCATGATATGAGAGATCATCTTTATAGAGAATTAAATTACGCGAGGTATATATCTGTAGTTTGATTAAATTAATTTATATAAATGAATTCCCTTATTAATTTAAATGGTATTGCAGATGGCACTGTAAGGAATGTGGTTATTTATCAGTGAATCGCAATGCTTTGTTCAAACATTTCACAAAACATCACAATGGTGAGCGATCTCTCCACGAACCATTGTCACCGGATAATGACATTGAAGAATGGGTATGTACATTTTTTAATTTTATCGTATGTTCAGAAACTGCACAAACTACATACATTTATTACTTATATACTGTCAATTGTAGGTTGGTACGTTATTGGCAAAGCAAACGCTTATGATAAAAGCATTTTTGGCCAAACAAAACGTAAGTGGTTCGGATACTGGAATTAATTCTAAAGTATCTGCTGCTAAAACTACTCAGCATTCTGCTGCGAAAAGTACGAAAGCTGCGACTGTCGTCGATAAGTCTAATCCACAAGACGGTAAAGCTCAAGAGCCTGATGTTGATGTGGAGACATTAGAGGATACTGGTAAAGATAACGAAGGTCTCATTATGGATGAAAGTCCAGTAAAGAGTGACAAACCGGAAAACGTGGCAGATGTCGATACAGGTAACTTAATGAATTTTACTTAGCTCAATCATTTCTATCTCCAGTTTTCTGAAAATACAACTTTTATATAGCTGCTGCGCCAGTGGAAGAGGAGCAGGAGAAGCCATTAGTCTGTAAACACTGCAAAATGACGTTTACACGATGGCGTGGTTTCAAATTGCATGTACAGTTAACGCATCTGAAGCGACTAGGGTTCTTGTGTCCGTATTGTGACCGTAGCACCAATTCAGAAAGTTTAATGCGTCAGCATATACGTTCCAAACATCCGGGTTGTCCAGAAAAAATTGTTCAGAATCCAGACGCCGGTGGACCAGAGTTAACAGAGGAATTTTGGCAGAAAGAATACGGATTGGTGTTCCCGAAGAGAACCAAGAAACGCAAGAGGAAACTGAGCGAAGAGGCCGTAGAACATGACAACAATGAAGCCCAACAACCCGAGGCACAAGAGAAGTGCAACGTGTGTGGCTTTGCTGCTGTTAATCTAGCTGGTCTGAAGGGACACATGAGAGTACACGTCGCATCGAAACAAAAATTGAAATGTACCTATTGTCCTTTCACTTCTGGAACCAAAGCCGAACTTTGGAACCATTTGGAAGTCCATCATCCATTCAAATCTGACGATGCAGCGGCGTTCGAGTCGTCCAGTGAATGCGACAGTATGCAGTTGGATAAGAAAGCTCGTACCGATGACTATAGCGATGATATAGAGGAAGAACAGATTTCTGATTCGAAAGACGATCAGCAGATTTATTACTGTTGCTTTTACTGTTCCTTCCGTAGCAAGTCTCTAGACGAGGTTCAGAGTCATTGGAGTACGGCGCATAAAGAATCGAAATTGTCCAGTGAACCATCCAAGTTGAAGTCTGTCTATCCATTTAGGTACAAAGAATTACAACTGTTGGACGATGACTCCGCGATGAAATCTCAGTGTTCAAAGGCAGAAGAAACAGAGTCCTCGTATGGACTGTATTTGCAGCAGCAGTCGCATAGCAATGCATCCGGATTGAAGCAAGAAGGTTGGATCTGCCAATGGTGCGACGAACTGTGCGACTCTGAGGTGAAAATGAAGACTCATCATGGAATGTTCCACTCTCATCTGCCATTGAACTTCAAGAAACAAGAGAAAGCCAAAGGACTCAAGGGATACGCGTGTCCGGAGTGCCCGTTCACAACTAGTTTCATTAATGTGATGAAGAACCATGTGTCTAAACATATAAACTTATACAAGTGTAAATATTGCAACAAAACCTACAGTTCTCCAACACAGGTATCTACACACAACACCGAAGAGCACCCTGGCATGGAACTGAAGATAGAAAGTATACAGAACTACGAATCGCTGTTAGAGAAAATAATGAATAACGTGAAATGGTTGAAGTCTAATGTCGAGTATCTTGATATTGATCAGAAAGAACTTGTTATAGAGAAACCAAAGAATCACGCAGTAGCGAGGAAATCTACAGCGAAACCATCTATTCGCACTAATCTCATTCCTTACAAAGTGAAGGCGGTTGCTAGGAAAAGTATCAATCCGTATTCAAGATATATTTCATCTCCTAAGGCCAGTGATAGACAACAGTTGCCCAAAACTAAACAATTTTCATATTACGGCATTCCTAAGAGTCCTGTTAATCTGGCCAAGTTAAATACATATATGGTAGTTGGCGGTCATCGAATGAAGGTGAACTGTACCACTCTTTCGCAGCTGATAAACATTGATCCGAAAGTAATATTGAGAGACATTAAACATAAGGCAACAGATACAGTGACACTTAAGAAGTTAAAGTAATTAATGGGCGTATATACAAGGTAATTCCCTTGGATGCCAAGAATGTAAAAAGATAAATTAAGTTTCACATAGGATTTAAATTAATATGCAATATTTATATATTTGTTCGTCGGCTATTATTAGTACAATGCTTAACGATAGCCAAAGTTCACATACGGTATCATATGACACTCTTCTGTAATGGTACATTGAATTTTTATAAAATTCAAAAATGGCACCGTATTTGAACGGAAGAGGATAAGCCTACATGTAATTCGCCTATTAGCGTTATTAATCATTTCTATTTATTCTTTTTCAATTCATTGCAACTTAGGACGTTTTCGAACCTTGATACATCACATATATTTTGCATTATTCGATAGTTGTACGAAAGAAGGTTATTGTAAAGTGCATATTACTTACACACAGAAACACATACGTGTATCTATAGAACAGACACTTGATCGATCATAAGGATATATCGTATTAAAGAAGAGGAGGGTAATTAAATAAGTGTTAAGACGAGAGAATACATTGTGCTATATACCGGTGAATGGGAGTTAAAACTTGAGATCAAAACAGTAGTTATATAGTATGGAAACTGTAAATGTATTTAAATATCGTAAGATCCGTTAGTTGCGCGAGTTGAAGAAGCAAATACTAAACTTATTTATTTTGGAATATAATGAAGTTCCATGGTATATAAACCGTATCTTCTTACTTGATCAATAATCACATATAATAGAATTACTTTGGAATAAGTAAGTAAGTACTTACAATGTAAGCACTGCCGAGTTTCGGCGAAGCGGGATAATCCGTGAAACTTTTTAAATATGAACAACTCTTGTGTCGAATCGGAATATAATCATTTTCGTAAGTCAGAAAATGTAGAGGTAATCGATATCTGTGATTTAAATGTTAACATGTAAATTACAGCGCTTGTCGATGTTAAAAGAGCATTACCGAGTACCAAGTTACATTATTTCATGTTACGAAATGTTTATAATATACAGTCATTCGTAAATCACAACTTTAAACGCATATTTCTATTTATTGTAATTAAGAAGAATGAAATGTTTAAATGACCATTATAGGATGTTTTTTGTAGATAATATCGATAAACATGAAATTTGCATATTAACACTTACATCGTGTATAATGAAGTGTTATAAAGATGATTGTTTTGCGCGTATAAAATGTATTTTTCACCGTATAATTTCCACCTTCAATTCTTGAGTATCAAGCATGAGGTGGTGAACAGAAAAAAAAGTAAGACTGAAGAAGAGCGTTCTGTAAATTACAGTAGGTTCTATGCTAGTTTGTAAATAACTGTAAATATGGTGTAACATAAAATTTCACATAAATATTTTTGATTTTTATAATAAAATTGATCGTCATTTCTGACTGCACTTCTTCGTAATGTGAATTGAAATGTTTCACGAGAAAATATTTTAAATGTTTACTTGAATTTTTTTATTTAAAGAATTGTACAAAGTTTGATGCGAACATTTCTTATACTTGAAGATCCAATTTTCAGGAAGCTTACACAATTAACATGAAATAAATATCTATCACTTTCCTGTTCTTCAATTTAAAAATAGCACTTTATTTGTTATTTGGTGCAATTCACTTGTGTTATTCAAAAGCATACAAAAACGTAAGAATTATGCGGAAGTTTCCATAGACTTCGTGCAAACGAGATGTTTAAATTAGATATAATATAACTTCTAATATCCAAGAACGGGTTTTCAATTAAGTAATACTTAAAAGCGATTTAGCCTTTCAGAGATGACAACCCTGCTCTCATTATTTCATCAACCAGAAGCAGGTTGCTGGCAATAATTGTGCTAAAAATACAAAAAAAATTAGTATTACAACGAAAGTAACGATCTAGAATAAGTAATGAACGTTATTTAATTAAACGCACTTACCATGAATTAATAATTTGTTTCTTTACGTTATAATTATCGTAAATTCCAGCGTCAGCAGGTTTTAATGCTTCACCTGTTGAAACGTCTAATCCAACCGCTTCGCCCAATGTATTTCTTTCCTCAAATAATTTCACAATTGTGTCTTGTGCATCGAATCCGCTATTTATAGCTAAACATATAAGATAAACAGTGCTAAATCTACAGATTAAAGTAATTAATAACTGATATAAAGAAAAGTATATATTTATAATATTACCAAGGTATTTTGGAATGATGAGTAATGCTTCGGCATAAGCTTGCACACCCAGACGCTGTTTTCCTTTTACTGTTTCTTTGTACTGTTGAAGTTCCTGACTAGCAGCAACCTCGAAAGCTCCAGCACCGGGAATAATAGCACGATCGTCAATAGCATTTTTGATAGCTCTTAGACCATTCCTGATAGCGTCTTTTAGTTGTTCTAAAGTGTACTTGTTTGGTCCCTGATAATTTAAGTGTATTAGAGTACGGTATTTCAGGTACTTGAAAAATATAATTTCATTATAGTATTACCTTCATTAATATTGTTACAGAATTTGGCTTCTTACATTCTTCTATAAACGTGTACTTAGTTTCCCCCTGCAATGAAATAACACATATCATACGTTGCGTCAAATAATTATTTAAACATTATATTACACAGAGAACATTTACCAATACATGTTCATATACAAGTCCAGCCCATCCTAAATGTTCTTCCTGTAACTCATCCAGCGAATTCATGGCTACTCCACCACAGGCTAGAGCTAAACGTTCCATATTTCTGCGTTTTGCTCTACGCAAAGCCAGAATATTTTCTTTGGCAAGCATATCTAAAGATGGTGGGTCAATTCCCTTTTGATTTATAATAACAAATGATTTGTCCGTTCCGTCGCATAATTTCTTCTTCAATTCAATAATTTTCTTCACTCGATTGTCTATGAATTTGCGTTCTGCTGCCACAAGCTTCTCGCGTTCCTCTGCAGTTTTATAAAAGAAACCACTGTTTACCTGAAACATAAAAACACTTTTGTTGTAAATTACAGTTTGTCAAGCATGAATATTAATTTATTTCAACATTTACCTCGCTCTTCTCATATTCTAAACTAACATTACATGTCAAAATGTAAGCATTCTCTACTCTCTTGGGCATATCTGGATGTCTGGATCCATGATCGGTTACAATACCACGAATTAAATCTGTGTCTGCTGCAGTTCTATGCTGCATCTCCATTAATTCAACCATATGCAAATCAATATCTTTATCCTCTTGTCTAATAGCTAACACTGCATCCACACAGATTTCAGTCAGCTTATCCGCAATAGTTGGATGAATTTTAGTTTTAAGAGATGTTCTTGCAATATCCATCAAACTTTCTTTTGTAGGTTCAATATTAATCTTCATAGATTCTAATATTTCCAATGTTTTGATTCTAGCCAAATCAAAACCTTCTGTGAGCATTCTAGGATGAAGTCCCTCGCATATATAAATATCAGCTTGTTTAAGTAGTTCTCCAATGATTAACACAGTACTAGTAGTACCATCTCCAGTGATATCCTCTTGAGCAGTAGATGCTCGAGCAATAAGTGAAGCTGTTGGATGCTGTATTTGCATTTCATGTAATAATACATTGCCGTCTTTTGTGATTTTAATGTCACCCGCTCCAGACACCAACCTTTAAAGAAACAATTTGAATAATATATATGACAAAAAGAAATTTACTTAACATTCGTTTTTCTGACTTGTCTATAATACTTTTAATGAATAATGTCTACGGATAAGATTTAATCGATATTATTAAATTATGCAAAAGACATTTTAAATTATTAAACTGATAATAGAAGTTAAAAATTTTCATTTGTTGTGTGGGTTGTCATGCCGGTGTTTCACGGAAGATCAAGCTTGCCTAATAAGGATAATAAAAGCGATAAATATTCACACGTCATAGAAATGCATTTTTGTAGTAAAATATTAACAAAAAAAATATTATTTCTTAGTTTGATATGTTTCACTTTTTTTTTAATCAATCCAGTTAATGAATTAAAGTGAATGACCGTAAAATTTACACGTGAGAATAAACATACATACATTTTCATGGTGCCTTTTGGGCCGAGATTTGTCTTCATCACATCTTGAATTCCTTTTGCTGCCGAAATATTCACAGCTAATGCCTGTGCAGCTCGTGCGAATTCAGCTTTCGGATTTAATAAACTGATTGCTGCCATTTTGTGAAATTACAATTATTCTTCTTAATATTAAAACGTTTCGGCACGTTACCTTCCACAAATGGCTTCAACCAGTTCAAGTCATAGAGATTACTTCTCGAGGATGACGACTGAGCTGAATATAATCTAGGGACTTTTGTGCCACAATCTATGAAATGAAAATTTTTCGAAAGATTCGCAAATCTATTTAAAAAAAATGTTTATGTTTATGTTAAAATTGTTTGATTCATTTAATTTAAGTTTATTGATTTTTATTTCTCATTGATCTAGGACAAGGATGTCTAAAACAAAGGGGTAAGTTACAGACACCTTTGTTCTAGAACAGTCTTTATGAGGTGACTAGATAACTTATTCCCCTCGCACTAACACTCGAAAAATAGTTTCTATTACACTACTTTAGTCTAGCTGTGATACTGTGTATATGAGCAGTTTTATAAGTGTTCAAACAAACAGATAAAAGTAAGTATAGAGAGGGTAACTTTCCGTCAGGGGAATGTCACTAGAACGCCCGCGGGCACCGATTTAGACATCCTTGATGTAGATTATTTAAAAGAACAGATGATTGTTTAACGTTACAAAATTCAGGATATCACTGTTTTATCGCGAATCCAAAATGAGACAACGAAAACTTGGTATTGACATTAAATAAACCTTGGCAGTATTTAAGAAATATTTCCTTAATAAATATTAATAATTGTACATATTTTACAATGACATCTATTTGTAGTGGAATAAATAAAATTGTACATAAAGTTGAAACATCAAGGAATTTATGTGAGTTTTATTAAGTACTGTATTTTAATTCATTACATTAATTATAGATGAACTAAGGATAGTGTTTATTAGTTAGAACATACGCAACAGATTTGACATTTGTACCAAAATGTCAACCAGTCAAGGACTCTGACATAACGAGGCTAAAAGAATTTATTGACAGTCACAATAATATATGCATATTAACTGGAGCAGGAATATCTACTGAAAGTGGAATTCCTGATTATAGATCCCAAGGTGTTGGTCTCTATGCAAGGAGCAATCGTAGACCTGTACTCTACAAAGATTTTTGCGCAAGCGATTCTCTTAGGAAACGTTATTGGGCTAGGAATTACGTGGGCTGGCCTAGGTTAGAGTTTTTCCTGACAAAAACAGATATAAAAAAATTTGCATATATATAATAAAAATAATATTTCTATAGGTTTTCTAGTATTGAACCTAACGATACACATAAATTATTAAAAAAATTAGAAGATACCCAAAAAGTTAGATGCATCATTACTCAAAATGTTGATAACCTACATGTAAAAGCAGGTAGTAGAAGAATAATAGAATTACACGGTACAGCATTCAGAGTAATGTGTCTTAACTGTGATCACAAAATATGTAGATATTATTTGCAAGATGTTTTAGATGGACTTAATTATAATATGAGTGCAACTTCGCAAATGATAAGACCCGATGGAGATGTAGATATATCAGAGGTAATTATTTAAATATTAGGTTAAAAGTACTTTTAGATTGAAGTATAATTATAAATTTCAACAGGAAGAAATAGATAGATTTATTGTTCCTGCTTGTGAGAATTGTGGTGGAATTTTGAAGCCAGATATCGTATTTTTTGGAGACAATGTACCACGTCAGACAGTGGACAGTGTAAAATACAATGTTGAACATTCTGATGCTTTATTTATTTTGGGCTCCACATTAACAACATTCTCTGGGTATAGAATTGCATTACAAGCCAGTAATGCTGGAAAACCAATAGCCATATTAAATATTGGACAAACAAGAGCAGATGCTCTTGCAAATATCAAAGTAGAAGGTCGATGCAGTGATGTATTGTCAAGAATTTTTACAGTAGATAAAAAAGCAGAATGTAAAGAATGTTAAAGATCAATTAAATATAACTATATTTTAGACTTAGTTCATTGTTTTCAAAAAGTTTTCATAACTAATAAAGAAAAACTGTATTTCAACTCAAAATAGTACACACACATCAGTGTATTCAATCTTAAATATTTCAACATTTATCTGAAAATATTGCAATGTAAATAAATATTAAATCAAATTAGAAAATAATAATCACGCCACCTATTCTAAGAAAGCTGAAACTACAAGCCGAAGAGTACCGATTGTCTCCACTAGCTGGCGCTAGCAAATCAACTAAGCAGCTAACGTGTCGATAACGTAGATTGTAGATAAAGTCAATTACTTTTTGTTATTAGAAAATTAATTATCTTTTTCAAACTCTTATCTTAACGATTTTTTAACAGATTATACACTACTATTCTATATTACTAAAGAATATGAAAAATTAATAAAAATTCAACGAGTGCCAAATAAATTGTAGAGTTGATTTTTAATTCAATTTTCGTATTAAATCGATTTGTCTCACCGTTTTTCAGAGAAGCATCTATCGTCTTTTCAATAATTGCAGAAACAAGACATCGGGAATCTGGTAGTTTGAGTATTCACTTGTGTACTTTTTAATATATTCATTATTTTACTGCATAATGCAGATGAATTGCCCACTTTTAGTATTTCGTGAAAAACAATTTTCGAAATTCCTATGGGATAGCAGCTCCGGTTTTTTCAGATTAATTTTCACCTTAAAATTGCGAATTTTCTGTTTAATGTTCCGATAAATGTCTATACGAAATTACTAGTATACACAGAAACGTGTTATTCAGACAAAAAAGTTAAAAGAACATACTTTCTATTTTATTTATTTATATTTGTAGAGATTTGAGCAAAATCATTACACCTAAGATCAAAATAATACCTAAAAATGTGTTATACGCTTCAGTCTTGAACGCTTAACAATTTTATTAGAAATGTTATAGTTTAAAAAATTGTTCATATTGAACTTCAGTATTATTTGCCATCATTTCAATAATTAAAACTAAGACCACTGGTCTATACAATTTATCGAACAATTTTCAACAACAGTATAATTAGTCAAAATAATTTCTTGTATAACTGTTGTGGTGACGATTTTATTGTTCCTTTTCACAATTCGCAACAGAGTTAAACGTTTTCATTATACAATTAATTGTTTATTGTCAAATATTTCATAAATTTTGTACTCGTAACACGGAATAGTCGAATGCAATCTGTTAACAAGACGTTAAGATAATAATTAAAAAAAAATGAGTGTAAGAAACCCCTTAAACTATTGCAAGAGCCCCCAAGAATCGGTGTGAGAAACCCTTTAAACCGTCGCGAAAAATCCATGTAGTCGGTGTGAGAAATCCCTTAAACTGTCGCAAGATAGCTCCGGAATCGGTGTGAAAAATCCCTTAAACTATCGCAAAATATCTCCGGAATTGGCGTAAGACTCGCCATGAA